AAGATAGATCATAAACTTTTATGTGCTAAGCTACGTTCTGTTGGTTGTGATGAGGTTGTAATCAAATTTTTTTAAAGCAATCTTAAAAACAGGACCCAATGTGTTTCAGTGAAGGGTATTACATCTTATGTCACTCGCATACCTTCAGGAGTGCCTCAGGGTTCCATTTTGAGACCTCTTTTGTTTTTAATATACACATTTGACTTATCTAGATCAGTTTACAACTCTGATATTCAATCGTTCGCTGATGACACCCAGCTCTCGAACTGTTCGGTATAGAAGATATACAGAGCACTGTCCAAGTATTACAAGCAGATATTGATAGTCTATGCAAATATTCAGCAGATCACAACCTCAGCATAAACCCGGAAAAATCTAAGATTTTATGGTTTTGTTCAGACAGCAGAAGGAACGACGTTGTTTTGCTCTTAAATGTGAACATAGACAATAAGCAGCTCGAGCTCACAATAGCGCAAAAATATTGGGTGTAGAAATTGATACAAAATTAAGATTTACCGAGCATGTAAAAAATCTGACACAAAAAACCTATGCACGTTTACGCAGTCTTTATTCAAACAGATATCTGCTAAACCTCAAAATGAGGAAAAAACTTTGCGAAGCCTTCGTTGTGTCTGTCTTGAACTACTGCAGTATTCTATATTTTCCCTGTTTGGATCAGATCACTAAACACAGAATCCAATTGATTCAAAATAGCTGTGTTCGCTTTATATAGAAAGAGTACGACCATGTCTCTCACAAATATGCAGAGTTGAGATGGCTAAAGTTTGACCAGTTGGTCAAGTTACATTTTTCCACATTTATCCATAAAATTTTAATTAATTTTAAGCCAGAATACCTACGTGAAAAAATTATTTTTAATAACACCATTCACAAAAGAGCTATTAGAGACAGGCACGTTATCAGAATTCCGAAGCATACAACATCTCTGTTCCAACGAAGTTTCTCATATAACGTTGCAGCAATATACAGGGTGGTCCATAACTCCTTTGAAATTTCAAATTTGAATAAAATTAAAAGTGTACGACACCACTCCGCGATCAGTTGATGTCCTGAAAGAAAATATCCGAAGAAAAAAGGCAAGCATTACAGTGTTGACTTGCCGCGCAATCATCGACAATCTTAGACGTCGTTTATATGAGTGCCGTGATCGTAATGGGTTGCATTTAGACGATGTGATTTTTAGAACATAATTCCCATTCAATAAAGATGATAACAAAATATAATAATTCTTCATAATGTAACTAGTTTGGTTTTATTCCTATTTTTCCAGCTCAAAGGACTTATGGGCCACCCTGTATAATTATTTGGACAGTAAATTTAAGACCATGAGTTTACCATGTTTCCCTTACAATGTTAAGTTGAGTTATTTGAACGATTAACTTTTCCCTCAATATTTCATAGACCTTTTCAGAGTAGCAGTATGTGCACACAAAATATCTCATTTTCCATTTCCATTTTCCACATATGGGTTATAAGTGATTTATTATATATATTTTGCATTTTTTTTCTGTTAGCTGTTAACAACGTAATATTTAACTTTAGTGGTTAAGTGTTAGAGTAGCATATTACTAAACTTCGCCACTATAGTTACACGTTATATATATATATATATATATATATTATGTATTGTATATATTATTTAATAAAGACGTTTATTATCATTATTATTATTATTAAATACGCAAAGCTTCTGGGGCTTCGTTTTCTCATTCTAGAAGTTTCAATATTTTGATTGATCCACACGTACGAGTATGAAAAGTATCTGCTACTTACCTTTACATCAGCATCCCACATATTATTTTTTACCTTTATCTATATCCACCCTTGACTTTAACTGTTGGGTGTTGCTAAATAAATAAATAATGAAAATATATTTCACTCTATTCAGTCGCTGATAGAGAAACCAATTTTGGACTCATCCACAAGTTGTAGAAAGTTGCGCATCATTCCACAAGTCGGTTTTTGAGGCCCTTTGCCAGTTAAACTGACTATTAAATGCTTTATTAACAAAAATGTCTGTACGTTAAAGTTCATTGGAAAATTAATTCAAAATATTCTTATTCTAAAATAGGTATAGGTATATTTTCATCTCATACGAAGAATCCGCTACCACTTTGATGAGCAAAAATAAAGAATGCGCTACAACTTTTCAGTCATATTATGACTTAACTTCAACATTTTTTTGAGTAAAGGATTTTGAATCACCAGTATAGCGTTCAAACATCTGCTGAGTTTAAATGATCAACAAGCTAAAACGTTCACCTACCTCTTTCTTGATCCCCTCTTGCCTCAAGTACTGTTGTAACAGGACAATACAAACAGATAAATTGTTATCAGTCTCCTAGAAATAGAAATAGCCGATAACACTGAAAACTTTCATGATGATTCTGGTAAAATATACCTTAAGTTTCTCCTGCAGCACATACAACTTCTCCTCGATCGAAGCCATGCTTGTTTACTGTCGTCGCATGTCATTTTTCCTATCGATTATCCTGTAATTTAGTTTCGTTAAATAGTCCAGCATTTAGGGATTTTAACAGTAAATACATATTTTGGTTATTGCTGACTCTAGCTGATTTTGACTGGTGGAACTCTTCCAGCATATGGTTGAATAGCACAATTGAGTTAACGAAGTTCACAATGAAAACTAAACGATGAATTATGATGATGTGTTTCACTTTGTTAATAGGATGCTTGAATTAAATAAAATGTTATAATTCGTCTTCAGCATTTTCATTGTGAAAATTCTTAGAAACAACTGTAGTAGTAGTAATGGTGGGGAGACAGGTAGGCTACCTTTGGCCCTTTTGTTATTTCACTAATTTGTCGAACATTCCTGATCTCCTAATAAACTCCATCGCGCAGAATATCTCAGCCCTCAGACTGCAATACACCCTTAAAAGGGATAAGTGTCTGTTTAGTCTGCAGTGGCCGGAGAGAGCCTGCACCAAAAGGTTGAGTGATTTTCTACCCCTGTAATCGAGACAAATTTCGAAAACCAGATACCGTGTTTTTGGATATGATATGTACATCACGAAAAACCATGTCACTCGTGACGTCCGTCTGCCTGTCGGTCTGTCCGCTAATCTTATAACCGCCTATAAATTTGAGAAGTACCGCTAAGATTTCGATGAATTTTTAAACAATGTTACTACTATGCCAAGAACACAAAAGCTTTATAGTTTTTGAAAATCAGTCAAGTAACTGCAGAGAAAAAGACCAAAAACAAAGAAAAAAATCATTAAAACTTCGTTTTTGACGATCCTGATCATTTTTGAAAAAAAAAATGAGGTAAACAAAATTAGTGGTGGGGGTTGTAGGAGGGGGTGGGGATGTTTTAAATCAATTTTTTGATGTTAGTACATTTATACTCCGCAACCTTGGTAAATCTATGCACCTATTAGACATATTTCACATATCATACATTTCGCCGTACATTATTCCTTAGATAAGAAAAATATTCTCAGCAGACGGACGCGTACCTAACGGTCGTGTCTGCTTCTGCTCCAGACAGCCTTCTGGTCCTGGTAAGTGTACTGGTATTACTGCCGCGCAATAGCATAGTGTTTCCTAAGCTGTGGCCGCGGTGTCTCGTCTGACCGTGTAACATATCGGGGAGAAGCGACGTTTTCAGATGGACTACCGGTTGGCCAGGAAAAGAATATCTACGAACTGATTGTATGGGCCTTTTTGACTGACTTTTTTCTCATAGGGTCAACCTTGTGCAGAACATAACCCTTTATGAATGAACACCAGCGTTGCGTGGGAAGTGCATAGTCAACCTACTTTACGCGATTTTTTAGATAACAATATAAAAAACTTACTCTAAGTTATATTCTTAGGGTTTTATGGAAACGGATTTAAGATGATGGCAACAGACGATGGACTAAATACTAAATAATAAGTAGGATGACTCTGTAATTCCCATGTATTGATATCAATCATCTATTTCATATTTGGTAAGTGTAATATATGCCCGATATTGAATTTTGAAGCACTTTAAAAATGTTCAACTGCGCTCTAATGTGACTAAAAGGATGAGAAAGTTTAAAAAACAAAGTTTGTAGTTTTTTGAAAATGTGGTCCTATTCGCGAAAACTGATTACACCCAACGAAATACTAATGTATTGTTTTTCACTTATAGCTCCACCATTACGGGACGGATTTCTAAAGTCTATCAAGCTTTTTTATTTTTGGCATATCACGATTTCATCAAAAGTCGTGCTGCACTTTCCATTTTTACTGTATCACACATTGCTTTGACGTTTAAGCCATCACGTATGGGTATATGTCATCGTAACGGAAGCAATAATGTGCGAGTTCTCTATGTACTTCAATATTTATTAAGGTTTTGGAGTATTTATGAATAAAAATGGATATTTCTAAATTCCGGTTATAGATTTGTGGGTTATGGCTACATGTTTACTGTAACACACACTATTTTGACGTTTAAGCCATGACACGTGATATGGTAATGTAAACGTAAGCAATAATGTGATCACCAATAACTATAAAATTTCGAAAAACAAATTTACAATGCAATTCTATCTGCAGATATGTGTCTATTTTCCTTTTAATACACACGTTTCTAGGTATTTATTTCTTCTTTGACTACTGGGCTATATCGATTATCCCATAATTCAGTTTCATAAACAGCTCGACATGCAAACCGTAAAAAATTCGTGATTCCGTGGCTTTAGGAAGTCAGCTGTTATGGTACGGGACATCAACCTTGCCTGACCCATTTCACGAATCGCGTGCCGACTAAACTGGATGATTTTCCCTTCCCCCTCTTTGTATGTTCAGAATAAGTCATCTATTTGGTATATCCTGAGAAATTCAACAGTATGTTGGGGAGTTGTAACCTTTCTCAAAAATACTCAATTTTCTTGGCTTTTAGATCAGATTCGATAAAATGAGAAATATAAAAGTGGATAAGGAAACATTAGGGAAAATTGCGCATAAAGATAACAAAGAGAAACATCATAAAAACGGTTTATTAAAATATTATTTTTTCAATAAATTATATAAAAAGTGAAAAATGTAAACAAAAATAATTCGTATTAACCGTTACATTTTGCTCTGTAGCAGATTGTTTTAGAAACTCAAACGTTGAATCTGTGATGACTTTTAAGTCAAACGCTACAATAACAGTAACATCAGTGTGATGTGAGTATGGATTTATGAAAATATCTACTTACATTTCTAAATAGTCAGTGTAAAAATGGCAATAAAACTATATTCCCAACTATATCCTTTCTACACACCAAAAATTGTTAAAAAAGGAATTATAAAAATGTGAGGTATTGTAGTAGTGAGGTGAGTACATTTTATGAATATACTTAATTACCGTAGGTATAAATTTATTTTTCAATTTTTTATTTCCAATAAAACACCAAATTAACACGTGATGAGGTTAACAATGTTTTAATCTGCATTTTGTAACGCAATGCGGTTCATTTTTCTCCTTTGCTCCGACCAAATATATAAAGACGAGGCAGAACAACGATTGTATCATAAAATTTCAAGTAGCAAATAAGTTTTTCATGCAGACACAAAGTTTCATATGAAAAGAAGTAAGAATTTTCAGATCGCTACTTTTTGAACTGCTTATTTATGACACACATAAATAATAATTTCACACAGCCCAGCTGAAATGTGTTGTGGTGCAAAAAGTCTCTTAACTGTTACCTAATATCCAATAACAAACTATACATTATTATGTACGACTTTAGTACGCAAAAAATACGAATGCAACTAAATTTGTACTTTGCGTTCAATTACTACTAATAGGGCGATTCAAAGTTGAAGATTTTGGATCCAATATGGAGAAGCCTGACAAAATAAAAAACGGCAAGCGACAAAAATGTATAAAATAGCATTCTACAGTAATGAAGCCAGCTTTGTTTGGCTTGCTGGGCAACACCCTGTATATTGAAAACGCACTAAAGACATTGTTTTAGTTGAAATAATGTTCCCTCAATATCTTATATCTAATAAGATATTCGGTGAATTCGAAATTGTATACGTATCACTCAACTTGGCAACAAAAAAGATTCCCCTAATATTATAAATATCCCATTTGTTTTTGACTAGCAACCAATTAAGGCAAGATACCAAGGCCACAATATGAATCTTCAAATATCTACAATGTACATGTTTTTTGCAATCCAGTGCAAATACAATAAAAATATATTTGCCTTCAGAAAAAAATAGAAGCAATGTAATTTCCAACATCGGTAATTATTTGTTCCTGTACGGAAGGCTGCAGATAAAGCTGTATAATCAAAAGCAAGTACAGTAAATAAGCCAGTAATGTGAACCAACTATATCACAGCACCTTGCTTAGCCGAATGTCACATGATAACTATTTACTGAGGTCTATGTAAAAGATGCACTGTTGATTCGATCAGGGTCAGTGGATTTCTACGTAATCTTATACACCAATAAATACTACGTCCAGGCTGCAAAGTCAATAAATATCACATTCCACGATAAATGCTGACGGATCACAGCAACTACTGTTCATATGACATTCGCCTTAAAGCACAATATCAACCATATTCTTTTAAATCTTCTCTTAAAGGCAGTACTGTATAGTTTAATTGAAAATGAAATACTACCCTCAAGACTCATGTACAACCTTTGGACGGGATGGAAATTTTTACTGAGTGGATAAATTATGATCATCATATGAAAATTTCATATGCAGTCAGCTAGTTGACATGTTGGGATATACATAAATACATACGCACAGCTTCTATTTTTTATGGAAAACTATCTGCACCGAATTAGACAAAAAAACTAGTGCTACCAGTCTCATGTGTTAAGTGTCATAATATATTGTGTTCCTGCTGTTCTCTTCAGGCGTGATATCACCATTGGCGTCATGGTACACTGATACTCCTGACACAACAGATTCTCGTTTCCTTACTAGAAAGCATAGAGAAGAATATTAACAACTTAAATGCACAAGCTTGCCTAAGAACCAAATGCATAGTCATTATTTGAGTCTTCCTTATACTGAGAACACAATGTATCTAACCGGCACGCTTATTTTTCTAACAGCAAAATTATAAGGATAGCGATCTTATCACCAGCTGTTATTCACTTTATATTCACTTATAGTAGGGTATAGTAGCTTGTAGTAGTGTGTAGTAGCGGGCAGTTCTGTGTTAACTACGTCAAGATACTTGCGCTATGAGAGGTGACTGTGGGGGGGATGTCTGGTCGTCGATTCGCCCATGACCCTTCACCGGATCCGCCCTTAGCTAGCTAGTGCACAAGTGACAAGATGTTGATGAGATCGCTATCAGATCAATTATTTTACATAGAAGGGTGCATGTTTTAGCGGAATACGCTTCGAGCGACTTCCTGAAGCGCTTTTTGTAAGTGGAGGTGTCTCATTTGCCAAAAACCATTAGCGCTGTAATGTCGTTAGATGCACACCTTGTTTACATTGTCACTAGACAGTGACAGCGTACAGTTCTGTATATTGACTAAAAGAATAATTCAGAACCTACTTGATATATTGATAAAATATGGAATTCTTGAAAGTGTCCTTCTTTCTTGGACATGATATTTGACAACTCTTCTGTCATGCTGAAGTGTTAAGTCTGTCAAAGCAAATGAGGCATAGTCACTTTAGGAGACTTATGTGAAGTAACGACTATGCACTCGGCCCCACGTCCTTTGCATTGAAAAACATTACATTATCTTGTAATATCTTGTAAACTTCCAAAATAACAACAGATAAATGTTAAACATATTTCTATACTTACATGACTTATTCCGTCTCGCTCTCTCCATCTCATGCTTGATAATAATTTCATTTGTTCTATAAGCTTCTCGTTTGATCCTATCGCTAAGCTTTCTGCTGATGTCAGGAATGGTCCACTCTACCACAGTCATCACAAAGCTCACTAAATTCTGATAAACCACCACGAAGGCTAACCTAGCAGCTAGGATGTGCCAGTATATTAAAGGCCGTTTGTACTTCAGAGCAGGTTCTGGGTAGTCAAAAGGATTTCTGTATTCTGCATACCTGGAAAGGATAAAATATAGATGAAAAGATTAGCCAGGGATCTTCTTCAGTCGATTTTTTGTGATATAGGGAAAAGTTAAGATGAGGTTTGACTAAAGCACAGTGATATTTGGCAACTCATTAGTATGAGGTTTAGCCAAGGGTGGACAACGAACGAAAGCTGAGCAAGTCTATTCAGAATATAAGGCTTATCGAAATAAGACAGCACAAAGTTCCATCATTACCAGATTCGACCACTGCGTATGCGAAAACAGAAACTTGACTGTTGGAACTGTATCCCAGTTAGCATTGTCAGCCTGATCACCACTGTGGCCGCTAGTTGCCGCCGATTCTGGTCCTATAGTAGATATGGTCTACTCGCCATTGAAAAAACTAGTCCCACACGGATAAACAGAAGGTATATTACTACTTTGTGACAAAACCGAACCAAGTATAACACGCCCATCCTATTCCAGGCCAGTTCTTTACTAGACAGTTTCGTACACGTTTATTTGTTTTTGCAACATGTGTGTTCTAGAGTTTTAGTAAGGGCTAAAACAAATTTATTTATTATATTATTTATTGTAAGCGTGAACATTTTCGAAAATCAGATATTATGTTTTTTGGATGTTATATGACATGAATCACGAAAAAGCATGTCACTCATTTCCGTCGGTCTGTGTGTCTGTAGGTCTGTCCGCTAATCTTACAAGCTCCTATAACTTGAGAATTACCGCTCTGATTTCGAAGAAATTTTTACACATTGTAGGTACTATACCAAGGACGCAAAAGCTTTTTGAAAATTGGTCCAGTGTCGTCGGAGGATAAGGCCAAAAAAAAAAGAAAATAAAAATCGCTCAACCTTCGTTTTTTGACGTTTCGGTCGATCCTGATCACGTTCGGAAAAAAATTTGAAGCGGTTAAAAATCGGGTATTAGGTATTAGGTGGTGAGGGAGCGTATATCTAAATTTTAACATTCGTATAATTATATGCCTCCAACTCCAGTAATGCTACGCACATATTAGACATACTTCACTTATCATAGATTACCCTGTACATTTACCCTTAAAACTTAGAAAATATCATACAGTCGGAAGTCGATACGCGCGACGTCGTCCCCGATGGACAAATGTTGTCGTTGGTGGTTGAACGTCACAGTTGGGAATCGCTTCCACACTACTGTGGACTGCGTGTAGTGTGCATGGTAAAGCCCAATATCGTCATTTACGCGGGATTGGTCATAGCAATGACCGTGTGCACCTGCAGCAATTCCTCTCAGGGTTAGGAGGAAGGTCACATAACTTTTTGTTTTGGGCCAATATTTTTCAAAGAAGCGCTAACTTGTGCCAAACATGATCCTTTACGAACTGATGAGACTGTAGCGTGGGAAATTCAGAGTACATTGTTCCGAATACTAAATCAGCCTAAGCCCCTCATCTCGTGAAATATATAGATATAAAGCAGTATTTCTAAGCTACCTTACCTGCAAACAGTTACATTCTCTGAAGGAAACAATGGCGCCGAAACTTCTGGGAAATCCGAAGTATTAAACTTGGCAAGACTGAACTCTAGGAGCCCTTCGTCCGTGTGATTCTTCGACTGTTTCATCATATACACCATCCGTGGAATGAAATGCGACGAGAACGCGATTATGAACGCGTTCGAAACCACCGCTATCCTGCCCACGATCGCCAGGATCGAGTACCACACGCCAATGTTCTTTACTCTTTGAGGTACCGGCCGTCGATAGTATTTGATGAATTTCTTGGCGTCCAACCGCATCTCGAAGATGTTGTTGATCAGAGCGAAAAGAGGCGCCAGAGGGAAGGCCGTCACGAAGATGGTAACGAATCCATACTGAAGTACTGAAAAAGATATTAACATCGGTTCTTTGATTGTTAATGGAATTAAGTAGGATTCTGTTATTTTATACTTTGAAAAGAATACCATGACATTCGCAACGTTAGAAAATGGCTTTTTCAATCTGCGATTTTTAATGGTAAAGGCAAACGCCATTGATTAGAACTACAACAACCAGACAGTCTCAGAGTTCACGACACTGAAAAGCGGCCTATTCCTTGAATCCTATTTGCCCATTATACCATACTATGCTAGACATCCCACATACAGATCAAGGAAATTGAAATGAATTAATGAATGGCCAGTTTTATTTCCAACGCCAACTAACAAGGAAGTATCATGATCGCAAAAATTTTCAAAAATTAAATATGTTTTTTGGAAGTCACATCTGACATCACATCTACATAAAAAACAATGTCACTTATTCCTGTCAGTCAGTCTGTCTGTTTGTCCGCTTATCCTTCCCCCCTCTATCACTTGGGAAGTACCACTCGGCTTCTGACGAAACTTTGACACAAGGTTATTACTACTCCAAGGAAGAAAAACCTTTAAAGGTTTTGAGTACCGATCCAGAGGTGACGGAAAGCGATATAACGGATAATTGTATAAAAATCAATCAAACCTCGCTTTTGGCTTTCCTTCCCTTTTTTCCTTAAAATTGTCTGGTTTCTGAGTTACCAGAACTGACACTGTGACTCAAGAGCTAAGGTCCCACGGACCGCTCTGACAACCAACGATGACTTGACCTCGCGAGATTTTTTTGGGGGTTAAAATTTTACAGTGGGGGGTTGAAGGGAGTGGGAAAAAGTATATCTATCTTTTATTTCGCACAAAGAATTCATCCGTATATATGGCCGTGAGACGGAATATTTTGCAAATGCATCGAAGATAGAAGAAACCCATAGTGAGCTGGCCGCTGACGCAACTGAGATCGCAACGCACATTGGTCCGGAGCAATAGAACAAAGTAGAAATTTCTAGACCGCAACTTGTCAAATGGGTATGGGACTGAGGACTAATAATATGGACCTATTTGACTGCTTTTGCCATTTAATTTCGTTGTTATGCATGTTCGTAGTTGAAGCCATTTTTTGGAAGATAAATAGGTCCATTTCCATTCAAAATATGATAGCAACTAGCATTCTTTTAACTAATTGCCAGCATAAAAGCGATCTCAATAGAGATTTTTTCGCGAGATCCCGTAGTGAACCGGAGCGGGAACAGATGGAATTTCCCCGTCATCTCGAAGTTGTGACAGTTTAAAGTTACACCGGGAGTGATTAGATGGCGCATGTTGTGCAAAATGTTTGCTTTAAACTCCTTGATAAACTTAGCTGCCTTGTTTGAATCTGAAATAAAAAGACCGATCGTTTCTTGTGCAATGTACAAATAGATTCATAAAATCAATGATTTGATATGACAAGACCGGTTCATATCTCTTCTATGACCTTCTCCGTCGTCATTTAAAATCAGGTGGACGTGTTCCTCCATCCATGATTTAATAATTTAACTCAATTTTCAGCACTGCGAAGACAAATTTTCAATTGAGATGCCGCAAAATTTGAGTATCGGTTTCCGGTAGTGCACTGTGCTACACCGTGGATTCGTGAAAAAATGCTTTTTGACTGTTGAGATGAACGTTAACATGGCTATCATTAAGGATTTTTTCGCGAGTCCACGGCGTAGCACAGTGCACTACCGGGAACCGATACTCAAAGTTTTGCGTAGAACGGGAATAGGGGAAGACGGGTGTGACGTCGTCCGAATGACAAAAAATCAAGTGGTACGGGTACCCGCCTAACGTCTGTCAGGTACTAGCGGGTGACAGGTCTTATGTCAATGTCATTTGAAAAACAGACATGTCAATTGAAAATTTTTCTTCGCAGTGCCGAAAATTGAGTTAAAACATTAAATCATAAATGGAGAAACACGCCCACCTGATTTTAAATTACGAGGGAGAAGGTTATCGAAGATATAGGAAGCGCATTTGTCATATCAAATGCTTGATTTTTATTGATATATATATATAAGTTGGGGTTTTCCTTTTCAGAAACAACTACCCTTGAAATAACAAAGGTAATGTGTAGTGAAACGAGGGCGACCAAGTAAAAAAAAAATAAAGGAAAAAGTACTCACTCTCCAGTTGACGAGAAGGGCTAAATACGTCTCTGCCCGAAATCATACCACTCCAACAGAAAATGAAATCCAACAGAAAATGAAATCAGCTGAAGCACTACCGAGCAGACGCAGAAACCACATTGATTGTCTTACACTTAATGGCACATCTTCTAACAAGGAAGGCAAAATGTTGCGTTAAAAGTCTAGGTATTGCATCCCGTCCAATCGATTTGGGAGAATAAATGGTCCAATGAGCATACCGTTCACCATGCCAGCCCAAACATTCACCGAAAATGTTTGTTGAAAATGACCAAACATGAGTGTTACGAGAGTTATTCACCGCATTACGCGTGAACGTAGATTCGTCTGTCACCAATATGCACATCAAAAAGTCCGGATTATTGTCATGTTGATGCAACAACCACTCACAAAAGCGCACTCTTGCTGGAAAATCGTCAGGTTGAAGGGCTTGTACACGTTGGACGTGAAACGGATACAGCCCCTCTTCACGCAGCGTTTGCCACACTTTAATTTTTGATACTTGCACCTCTCTAGCCACGTCTCTAGTGCTTGTTGTTTTTTTAAACGCAATCCGTCGGTTGAAGGTTGCATACTAACCTGACACACTGACCCCGACCCAGTTCTGCCGTCGGGTTGAGACCTTGTAAGAGTCGGGGATATCGCGGCGGGTCGCGGCTACAGGACGGTATTCAGATATTTTTGATGTTGCAGAGCCCTTTATCTCGGTTCTGCAACTACAAAACTAGAAACACATGCCCACACATCCGGATACGGGTGTAACTTGATGAAACGAAGACGGAGAGGGGAAACAAATCGACACATGAAGTCCACAACAGGAGCCAACCTACACATTGTAGTATAAAATGATTAGGGCGTTATCTATCCTATTTTCTGCTCGAATCCACTTTACTCCTTTTTCCACTTTTTGTTATATACCTTTCTCCGCATGATCATTTTCTCTCTCTCTCTCTCTCTCTCTATATATATATATATATATGTACATTGTACAAAAGACGAGTAAAGATAACATGACCACGCAAGGCAACTACATATTGAAATATACTCTACTAGACTATCAGTTGCTCAATTTTACTCGAAATCGTTGCACAATACTTAAAAGTATGCAAATGAAAATTGGAAATCTGCCGCATTGACGTTCTAAACGACTCCGCCGTTACCCCGGAAAAAACACGTTTGGTTATAACTAAAAAACAAGTGTAACGTGATACATCGTTGAAGACATAGAAAAAGCTGCTATTAGATACAGTGTAGCATATTTTTAAAAACACCATCATGTAGTGCCTGAATTGTTCCATTAGTTTTTTGAAATTTCTTAAAATAAAGTCAGAAAATAAAAACGATTTGGCAAAATTTCAGTTTTTCCCAAATACCTCAGTATATGACTAATTTCTTAGTGCATGTAATGTGCGCAATTTATTTAAAAAGACATAGGATGTCAACCCTTGCACACAAGTAGATGAATATGCAAGGCTCACCTAGTTTCCTGCACAAATATCCTGTTTACCTCAGAAGAGCTGGAAGTAGACCTAATTTCCACTTTGGAGACACTTGACACCAAGGCACAACTGTGTGTATAGTGAACACCACTAGTGAAAAAAGTAGCTAAACCGAATAGAACTGTGTACGGAGCTGTGAACGCGTAGACGTTCCGCTGCGCCGACGGTTGCCGAAAGACTGAAGCGTGCAAGTGTTGTACCTCGCTGCGGCGATACGGTACGGCCGAGTAGTACAGCCTCGCCCCTTTCCAGTTCCCACTCCGCGCGTCTGCTCCCGAAGCGACTCGATCTTTACGTTGACCGGTAGCACTCACACGCTTCAGTCTCTCGGCAACCGTCGGCGCAGCGGAATGTCTAGGCGTACTCGGCTCCATGCAGAGCTCTATCCGGTTCAGCTACTTTTTTTTTCAGTAGGGTTCTCGATTGTCTCTCAATATTGCTTTGGTGTTGTAGTGTTGTGACGTGGGTGTCAAGTGTCTCTAAAGTGTAAATTATGTCTACCTAAAACTCTTCTGGGAAACAGGATATCTGCACAGCAAACTTGGTGAGCCTTGCATACTCATCTAGTTGTGTGTTAGGGTTGACATCCTATGTTTTTTTAAAATAGATTGCGCACATTGCATACACTGAGAGATTAGTCATATACTGAGGTATATCTCAATCGCCAGATCAATATTAGTCAAAGAATCACTTCCAAAGCGACTCATTTCCACTACATAAGCTGACTAGCACTGTTTAAAAACAATATTACAAAATTCAGCTAAGCGGCGTTTTTTTTCTGCTGTCCTAGGAGTCCATATTACTTGTTATCAAAGGTATTAATAAAAAAATCCTGTACTGTCATACAATTTTTCCATCTATAAACCATTTGTTATTTGAAATTCGACGTTTGTGATTGGTAGAAATTAAGACGAGGGAAATAGTCGTCATGAAAACCGCTGGATAAGTTTTAGAAGCTGCATTAACACAAAAACTGGTGCCACGGCTTGACTTGTGTTTGAATATTTATGCTGGCTATCTTGAAAAATGAAAAAATGTTCATATTTTAGTTTGTGATACTATTAACATTCATAAATAACATTTCTCTGACTGGATTACAAAACGGTTCTTACTTAAAAAATGACCCTCGTATAAAACGTTACTTCATTGCTATTTTTTTATGAAGCCAGAATTGGGGACCGACTTGATTTTTCTTCAGCTGATACAATCTTAGCAGTGACGGTTGAGGTTTTCCTCGCCCAAGTGTGAATGCAGTCACTAAAAACCATATTCTCCTACTATATAGTAGAGAAAATGAAAATCGTACTTCTCCTATTAATGACCATTTTAGATCAAATACTTGATAAATATATTTATAAAAAAATGTTTTACTTTTGCCAATTGTTCGAAGAAGTGTATTCAAATAGTATTTTACCCTATAAAACTAGGCATTTAGAAAAGTGTTCAGAGTCATTAACGTACCGCCGCATAGACGCAAAATGTAAATAACCGCTTTTTTTAGTTTTTTGGCAAACATTGGTACGCCTCAAATTTTATGTATCTCCATTGGTATCCCTCAATGTTTTATTCAAAGCTTCTTTTTATATAGCATTCTAACAAAATAGCAGAGGTAGCAAAATTGTCCGATGAGCTGGCAACGCAGCAATTTAGATGACAAGAATGACAAGGTCGACTGCTAAAACGTATGTCTATCCCGGGGTAACGACGGAATCATATAGTACGTCAAAGCGGCAATTTTCCAATCTTCATTTGCATTTTTAAGGGGTGTGCAACGATTTGGAGAAAAATTTCGCTACGGATAGTCTTCTAGAGTCTAGTAGAGTATATTTCAATACTTATCTTGCCTGGCCATGTTATCTTTACTCGGACCAATTTAGATTCTAACAAGACAGCTAAGTTTGCCCAGGATCTTAAAGCTAACATGTTGCGTAAGATGCGCCATCTAACTACTCCCGGTGTAACTGGAAACTGTTAAAACTTCGAGAGGAAGGGGAAATTCCATCTGTTTCCGCTCCTGTTCACAACGGGATCTCGCGAAAAAATCTCTATACTGATATAGAACGCTTGACGCGCAAACATCACATTTTTCACTTTTCATACTAGCATAAAATATAAAAGCCAACAAAAGAAGTAACATTACGTAGACACACAGACTTCTGCAAATACAAGTTCTGCACATTTCTCAGGTAGTGAAAATCTAATGAGTACCCAAATCTTGAACAAAATTTTCATCAATTAGGAACGTTATTCATTCAAAATCTCCAACTCCATATTACTATGACGAGGGAGATAATTAAAAGTGATAGTGTAACTACTCACCCATTTCCAAATATTCAGCAAATAAACTTCTTGACTGAAATTCACTCAATTTATAATCCTCAGTCCATTGATTGCAACTGATCAGCATAATATCTTCCGTTTTCTCGGCTTTCTCTATACCAGTTGTTATTTTGAAAGTATTGTACATTTTTATCAAAAGCGGAATCACCATTTCGACTATTGCATTTATAGCTTGATTGCCTATCATGATAATGGCTAGTTGTATTGTCAGCTCCATCAAACAACCGCCAGGATTACACTAAAAGAAAAAACTTTTGAGGTAACACAAAAGTGAATTTCTAATTTTCTATTAATAACCTATGTTGGAAAAATATTTTTGACTAGGTTTGAATTAGTTAAGAGCACCAGACCTGTTTACCATTGACATACTGTTTAATTAATGTACAACGAAACTGTAACTAGCGCTATTATGAGTTAGATATGAAAGGCAAAGCAGTGTAAGGTCTGAACATCGGAAAATGATACTCAGGCCTCCTTAGTCGCATTCTTCAAATTGACTTACCTCTTCTTGTCTATATCCTAATATCCTATTATACTTTGCAGGGTATCCTACGAATTTACCTTTGAAAAACGCAATATAAAAAATAGACGAATAGTAGTTGACGAATTGGAACATATATATTTTCAATGCTAAGCTATCATCAAATTCAGTCTGAGTCCTCTGCAGTTCCATTTCTGTCAACCATTCTGCCAGCCTATCGTAGATGAGATTCAGGATTACGATGCAAACCAAATTTATTAAGGCAGCTGTTACAGGTACTATGTAAATTCTGTAACTTGCTTTATCCCTGGAATAAATGTATGGTATTAGTTATCACAACTACCGAAAGCCATATCATGCAGAACGTTATTTACCATGTAACCAAAGAGAGAGAGAGAGCGACTATGGAATATATATATATACAGGGTGGCCCATCCATGTGTGGACGGAATATTACTCATAAACAAATACATTTTGGGAAAATCTATTTGTGGCATGTTATCTCTAATTTGAGGGCATATTTCTAAAATATTGGCAATTATAAAGAGTATCCCAATTTTGACCTACATATCAAAGTTGTGATTTTTTAAATGGAATGCCTCAAATTTTATTGTACTTTTTGATAAATCAATTCAAAAGAGCAAGATTGATATAACATACTATGGGGTTTTGGTAATTAGCTACTGAGATGTAAGGTGTTTTGTCCTCAAAAACCGTCCACTTTGGCAACCCCTCAATCCGTGGCAGCCGCGGCAGTCATATGCCAGAAATCATATTTAAAATGTAATGACACAAGATTATCTTACGAATGAAAAAAAATCATGTCAATCGAATAATCCATCGTTGTTTTATTGCAATTTAAAGTTCTATATCTTTAAAAAAACACGCTTTAGTTACGCACACGATTATGATAAAGCGCAGGTGTGCCGTCATGTTGGAAGTATATATGCATCCAACTTTGCAGGTTGACATCCTCAAAAAGCAAAGGCAAATGCTCGATCAAAAAATTCAAGTATTCTGTGCCTGATAATATGTTGTCGAAAAATTAAGGCCCGATAACTTGTCTGCCATTAACTCCTCCCCAAACATTCAAGCTCCATTTATTTTGGAAATCTATTTGCCTAACCCAGTAAGGGTTTTCCGTCGCATAATAGTGCATGTTATACCTTTTGACAAAAACCTATGCTTGTTAAAAGTTGCCTCATCGCTAAAAAAAACCTTATCCAGGAAAGTAGTGTCTTCACTCACTTTATTTAGCATTATTCTACTAAACTCCATTCGAGCTGCGAAATCCTGAGGACGAAGGCCTTGATGCAAGAATAGGTGATATGGATGAAACCTATGCTTGTGAATAATGCTTTGGATACAAGTTCTGCATATATCAGTTTCTGCTCCAATTTGCCGTGCACTTAAATGGAGGTTTTCCTGCAACTTTAATAGAACCTCCAACTGATTCGCCTCATTGGTGACACTTGGATTATTTATACATTTTTTACTATATTCCACTGCTCCTCTTGATTCAAAAACGTTCTCTTAGTGTGGAAAATGTTTCCGGTCTTGAATGTCGCATATTAGGGTACCGTTGCTTATAAATCCGAGATGCTAGGAAACCATTTCTTCTTTATAAAAATTCATTTTCAAACATGTTTTTATTATAATGCTCACAAAGCTAATTTTGACAGTTTGTAACTAATCAACAATTTATTGGTCTCCAAGGATGATGCGATATTTTAGGGAATTAAGCCGTTCCATAAAAAACGTGCTAATAACCGAAAAAATAGCCGTAAACACCCTTACGTGTCTAGTATCAAAAACAAGATTATAAAAAAGTGGATCTAAACTTGCACAAATATACAGGGTGAAGCATTTGAAAGCTGAGGTGTGTAAGTTTTTTTTGATACAAAATTCAGCACTTCAAATTCCAAACTGGCGGACTGAAGGGTAGCCGAAGTGGGGGGTTTTTCTAGACAAAACACCTTATATCTCAGTAGCTAATTACCAAAACCCCATAGTATGTTATATCAATTTTCTTCTTTTGAATTGGTTTATGCAAATATGCAATAAAATTTGAGGCATTCCATTTGAAAAATCACAACTTTGATGTGTTGGTCGAAATTGGGACACCCTGTCTAATGGCCAATATTTTAGAAATGTGCTCTCAAATGTCATGTATAATATCCCTTAAATAGATTTTCCCAAAATATATTTATTTATGAGTAATATTCCGCCCACACATGGCTGGCCACCCTGTATACTACAGACCTGTGGAACGAACATTCTTGATGAACTGTTAAAGAGTGTCATGTCATCATCCAGCTTGGATGAATATTTGAGAAAGAAAGTCCGAAAGAGACATTCCACCTACAGTACAAAATAAACTCACCTATACAAAGTATCAGACGTCATATAGCTCATTCTATAAATAACAATTCCCAAGACGACAGCTAGCGCCACCATCGTCCACAACAGTGCAACCGTGAAACTTATTATTATGGAGGGCAATTTGACCCTCCAAAAAGGCACGACGGGCTCTTGCAGTTGAGTAACAACATTGAGTTTTTGCTTTTTTGCTTTTGACAGACGCATCAAGTACTCAGGGCGCGGGGGTTCCGCTTGGAGGTCAAAACCTGTCAAGCCCCATCGATGTGTTATCTCGGCGCTATACCTAAAAGAAAAGCAATGATTCTTATATGTCAACGGCGCGTTCCCGTCACACGCAGGCATATGAAACCAGTGGTTACCCCGGTAGTTGGTATTAAAATGCTCTACCTGTTTATACGGTACGTGAATCAGCTTTTCAAACTACCGTTTCCTTCAACCGACCGAAAAAGTACCAGTTAATGCAAGCAGTCATATCCGCGATGTTAATCTTTTAGAAGCATCAATCGCAAATGACAACTTTGTCGCTTTAGAACTATAAAGTAGCAAAGCGCTTGTTACTAATTACAGTTGGTCTAAAGATGAAACGCTTAAATGTTGCAAGAATGTCATAATATTCAGCATAATTCATGTATTTGCACGGATTGTTATAAATTACAATCATCATTACAAGTTTAATACAACAAGGTAAGATTTTAGAAAAATACAAGGTCTGTCGCAATGTAAACAGTAATTCTGAAAGATATCCAATACAAGTAGCGCCATCTATTATCGGACTAGCGCTGTATGGTTACATCCTTCATTCATGCCCTGTCAAAATTTCATGACAATCGAACCCCATCACGCGGAGTTATCGCGCTCAAAGTGACAGTACCTTTTTAGCATCGGTCGAGAAATAAACATCGAACAAAGACCCAATATTAAGTTCTGATAAAACGTTTCCGGAAACTCATCAGATATTGATGCAAGTGTACGGTGATGATTGTTTATCTCGTAGCCGAGTCCACGGGTGGTTTGCACGGTTCAAAGAGGGTCATAAGTCGCTGGAAAAGCCAAAATTTGTGATTACGCCAGAAACCGTCGGAAAAGTGCGTTAATTTATAAAATGAAATCCTAAATCTTCCTTGAGATACATCGAAATGGAATTAAATATCTCTATAAAGATTCACGGTTTGTTCCGCACAAGCTCACGGATGAGCAAAAATTGCTTCGAATTTAAAATTCGAGAGACATCATTAAAGAGGCCAATAAATACAAAAACTTTCCGGACAACATTGTGACTGAACGTGGAGTTTGAAAAAATTTCAAAGTGAAGACAATGTTGATTTGTTTCTACGATTCGAAGGGAATTATTCACAAAGAATTCGTTCCACCGGGCTAAACGGTTAATGCTGTTTTATTTTGGTGGTATGAGGCGTTTGCTGTCGCGTATTCATCCTGTTCGGCCAGAATATCGCGAATGCACGATAATGCATCATATCATCGATCGACGCTTGTGTCCGATTTTTTTGACAAAAAATGGCATTTTAACCATCAACCACTTCCCATATTCTCCTGATACGGCACCGTGTGACTATTTTCTGTTCGGTAAACCACATCTGGCCATGAAAGGACAGCGGTATGCCGACGTGCGGGGCATCCAAAAGGCGTCGACGGCGATTTTGAAGGACATCCCGGTCAATGAGCTAAATCATCATTCGAAAATCTTTTGGTGCATGCAAATCGCTGCATTAACTCTGAAGGAGACTATTTTGAATAAAATAAATTCGATTTTTCGAAACAAAAAATGTTTGTTCATTTTTTCTTTGTCCTGTTTACTTTGCGACAGACCTTGTATGTACAATGCGAGCGCAAACGTTCTGTACTGCTTTCAGTATATTGCCATGCCCCACTTTGTGTCGCAGGAATCAAACGGACTTCTCGAGCGACTGGATAGCACTTTGTGCTCTTTACTGGATTTAACCATTTATATATGTGGCCCTACTAAGTCGATTGCAACTTAATTGCCGGACACTGACTTAATGATCAGGTACATCGGAATAATGGAAATGGCTTCATGCTGAACGTCTTTAAACATATTTCAACCATAAGGTATTTCTCATAATTCAACCACTTATGTTTCATCGGATTTGTTAAATATCTGCATGCATAAAAATCTAACAATGTTCGTTCTCGTACTGTTACATCTCACCTTTTCCACAGTTCAAGATACAAAGTCCCCCAAAACGACATAAACATGGCAAAAAATATCGTTGCAGGGTTATCGATAAAATGTTGTATCCTGGAATAGGTACAGCTCTCATTCAACTTCCAATAATCACAGTATTTATCACATCTAGGGCACATCGTGATATCTTTGGTACAAATGTCCCGGCTGAGCGAATCCGAATTTAAAGTTACTGCTCCATATAGAAAACATAACAGGCCTACGAGAGCTGCGGGTATGAGCATGTGAGTGTAAAACCCTAGCCAGGTGAAGTACAGGGCGAATTTCACTCCAAAATAGTCTTTTATGGCGTCTATAGGTTGGAACTTTATACACTTCGAGACTGATGCCCACTCATCCAGTAGGAGTTTTCTTCTTGTACCAGGAGTATGAAGATCTCCCTGTAGATATACAATAAACTGGTAAGAAATAAATCATGGACTAACATCAACATTTCACAAAAACAGTGGAACTTTCCAAAATAATCTTTCTAACGTTCGAATATCAAATCAAGTATCACCTTACATCATGCAAAGGATATGCTGCCTTATAGACATCTTCTGCGACAAGCCTTTTTATACCTTTGTCTTGGTCTTCATTACCAAATCGCTCTCTTTCTAAGATATATGATACAACCGTTGTTCTGACTGATGTATCAAAAAAATCTGGGCCATCCATATCAAATCTGCAAAAAAAATAAATTATAAAAAATGTAAATTCAAGTTTTCACACTTTGTTCGTCGTTCACAATTAATTTCTGGACATCAATACTCACAAATAATCTTTATCTCTACTAAACTCCGCAGTTAACTCATACTTTTTTTCAGGAAATAATTTTGGGTCAAGCGTCACTTTACAACATTGCAAAAGCTTATTGGCTGTTGTCACTAGTATATTGTCCTTAGGTAAGTCAGGGTTATCCTGAAATAGCAGAAGATAGATTAAGACTTCACGATAAAAAAAATACCATCCAAAATCACTTTATAGATTTTGAAACATCAAACAGGGGTTATTCTCAAAAGTAGTAGAAATATAGATTTCGTTCCTGCGATCGCGGACTGGTAACCATGGACTGTTGTTTCGTGATAGATTAGCTTTGAATCTTAAGTAAGTGTATTTGAGACAAGAATCCAACGGAATTATCATCAACATAATATTATTAGCACACAAATCCTCACTATGCACTTATGCATTGCCAATTCCTTCTAGCTATAGAATACAATTTACAGCGTGGACCTCCAGTAATGCCATCTCTGAAGCAGATTTTACATCACATCATAGCCAAACGTTGATAACTGAAGCCTCATAACATTTAGGCAACACGTACAACTATACAACGAGTTCACAACGTGACCATCAGCTAGTGCTAAGTTAACATCTTGTAGAAAAACCTACATAATGTCATAAAAAACCAATACAATCTCCAAAAAAATCTACATGATGTCACTTTTCAAGATACGTAATACCCGCGGCGCTGTCCATGGTTGGTTGTCTGTGTAATAGACCGTATCTACTATAGCACAAGAATCGGTAGTATCTAGCGGTCATAGTAGTGTAAAGTCTGGAAATGTTTTCACTCTAGCAGTGATCGATTCTGATAACAGATGGCACTTTATGCTGTCTTATCTTGATCATCCCATAGGTATTCAATTTTCAGAGCCCTATGCGGAATATAAGTTTAGCAACAAACCAGAAACATCTGTTTGAAATTCGGATTTTTAGAACCTCAAATTGATTATTTCACCAATCGTCGGTATATTAGCTATCCGCCGAGGCACCCGCAAATAGCTTTATGAAAACTGCAGTTATTTCTCAAAAACCTGCATGTCATACCATAGCTATTTCTTTTAGGCCCCTACGCGCAATTTTACACGATTTAGTTTAGTAACAGAAAGAGAAACGTATGCTTGTAACTCAATTTTTTTCTAACCTCAAACTACCCTTAAGAAAGTAATTTTTCCTATAATGTTAAGTTGTAACAATTTATAATGAGTTTGACCTGTAAGTATTTTTCGAATGGCATTTCAGGATCAGCTCAAGCTAAATGTTATAGTAAATGACAGTTTACTAAACTCACATCTTTTATCGGTAACCTCAACTTCAACAGCTCAGCATACTGGCACAACACATCTTTAGGCACATGAATTTTCACAAAATGTATCCTTTGGTTCTCCTCTCGTTCCAGCAATAATCCAACATTTTCTAAATTGGTTTCGAACACCTTCCGTTTCCGTATATTTTCTTGTTTTCCTTGCTCATCATAAGCTAACACGAAATCGACACTCAGCTCAGCATTAGTAAAACTCCGCCACTGCTGTAAGAGAAACAAATACTTTCACTTTAAATAATCGTATAAACTGTTACCTTTCCTATCCAAGAACCTGAGTGACAATTTAAATTTTAAACAATGCACATAAATGCGCAAGATGCTAAATCAAACAACGTACAATGCTGAAACCAAAAAACCAGTAGACACTCAGCAAACTGTGCCACAGAACATCATACAGTTAAAATATTATAACATAAATTTGATCGATTGTCTTTTTGTAATAATGGCATTACATTGCCATTTAAAATCATAAGCTACATTAACAGTTTTGGATATCATGAAACATTACATGTCTTTGGCCATGATTATGCTCTGCATCATTTCTGTTGTATGCATATTTTACTGTTTTCGTGTGCATACATACTATGAACTCTGAACAGCTACAAGCATCTTATAAAGTAGCGGCTTGAAATACCTGGATATATGAGATTTCTATATCATCAATATACAATGCTTATCAAAAAGGTCCCCCTTGCTACTGATTATTTTCAAAAGGTCAAGCTAGCAAGCTGAAATTTGGGACGATGACATTGATGCATGAATACTATATTTGAGTGTAAAATAAAATAATAAAAAAATATTAAGAGTGATTGAGATAACAGTGGCAACATTTCCAGGGCATAAATTAGGTAAAAAATTATCATATAAAAAACTTGCCCGAAACGCGTCCTTACCAATAAATAGGGTGTGGAAGTTATAATTCCCAAATCGAAAAAATATATCTTCGGGTTGTATGAAGATACAAAAACCTTCATTAAAGAGAAGTAGCTAAAAATTGGGAGATTATTATAAATGCCTGAACAACCGGATACCTAATAAACAAATGTAGAAAAAATGAAAATCAAGCACACAAAATTAACGGGTAAACTTTATATTATACAGTATTTTTAACTCATTCCATCAAAAATTGCAAAAATCCAACCAGTAAAACCGGGTTTCCAGTTTAAATCTAGGGTATATAAATAGATTTGGTATGCGCTTTACAATTATTTACTTACAACAATCCTAGGCAAAAACATCTGCTGATAGAACTGACTAGTCATTTTCACAATTCAGGTAGTGCAAATACATATTTTCATAAAGCATCACTCATCATACAAGTACTTGTACAAGGGCATAATGTCTAACAGATTACCGCCTGAATGTTAGGAAGGTCATAAATCTTAAAAGGATATTCTAGTGATAAGACAGGAGAATCATAAATATGGTTAATGGCTTATTTTTAAATTGTTACAAAGATACATTTAATGCATAATTATGTCTCGACCAGCTACGAGTATTTGTTTGATGACATGCGTAATCATTTGTAAATAGGCGATTTCAACCTGGAATTACAGTCACTATATTATAGTAGTTTAAGCTGTTGTCTATCTGAGTACTGACAGAAACAGACTACCTTATTATAGGTTATCAACCCACTATCTATTGTATACAGGATGACTTGAGGTAACTCTATTTCTCGGATAAAAAGCACAATTAAAAATAACATTAAAACATCTTATAAACATGCACAGGAAAATGTGCCATTACCAAGATACATAGTGTTGTCAATTTCTATGCCACTGATTAGAGTGAAATGAGAATCAAACATGAACATTGTTCAAATAATGCTATGGCGAATTTGAACTACTCTCCTAATACACTACACCAATTTTCAATGTCAGACCTCACTAACGTCAGCGTACTTTCCAAACAGAACGAGTTGATGGTCTTTGTCAGGATTTCACTTCAAATATTCAAAAAAAAATTTCTGTAAAAGTAGTAGCCTGACAAAGATTTCTCAAGAGAGATGATTCATGTAAAATTATTATGATTCAGAAACGCAATGATGTTTAAAAAAGCCAGCTGCGCATAAAATAGTTGTCTTTTTTTCCTATAGTGGTCAAAATTTCCCAATTTCTACATCGCTGGTATAGACTCGGGCACCAACATTTTTGTATTGGCTATGATGTCGGTACTACACGTACAAAATGTAAAGGATCCCCCAAACCAACGCGATTAATATCGAAGCGAAAAGATCGCAGTGGATTGGCAGTAAACGGTGTGCCCTCATGTTTTGATTGGAGATGAAGGATTTGCCCTTAAACCCCACCTAATGAGACCGTTTCCATATAGACAGGCGAAAGCAGACGCTAGAAAAGAAAAATACAATACTGGGCGCGGAGAGTAGTGGAAAATGCTTTTGGGATTCAAAGGTGGAGAATTTTTTATAGGCCCATGGAAACGAAAACAGATACTACAATTTTAATAGTAAAAACGTTCTGCATAATTTTTACGCAGTAAGCAATGTGACGAACAGTATATACACCTTCTAGATGAAGATCCAGATCCATCACAAGCCTTTACCAACATCGAAAATGATCCAAGACGTGCAACGAATCTTGCATTTTCTACACGAGAACAATTTGTTGACTACTTCAACTCCTAATATTGTTGGTCAAGATCAGCTTAGCTAAGCCATTCATAAATAATAAACGTATTATAATAATTTCTCAGTAAAGAGTAACTTACTGGTGTCATTCAATTCCACTCCTATCTCATCCCAGATTTTGTATTTTTTTCGAACATTTTTGTAGTCCTCGTTGTTCAAGTCAAAGAGAATTGGATATTGTTTAATTATTATTTCCAGAAATTTTTCAGTGTTTGCCATTGCGACAGCGATAAAAATCGTGCAAGCAGCGAATTAAAATTTAGACGCTGCACTGTCGCAGCGCTGCGAGCGAAATTGACGCATAGGTCTGTTCTTGTTCATTTGCTTCTACGAGAAGAGTCCCCGGGCGACAATGTCGTCGCGAATTAAAGGCAGTCGCTGCCAAATATTCGTGTCGGTTCCTTTATGTCAATATCTTAATCCACTCTGAAGACACATTTTAATTAAATTTTGATATTATGATTTATCAGTCTGCATCTTAATAAGGGGACATTTTACAGCCCATGATTATCTGAACCTTTCAAGTTATTTTTGTATCTACTTTATGCCTTTGAAATTTGCAATTTTTTCGTTATCACCCTATTTATAGAGAAAGTTCTTTTAAAACCCTATCCAAAAATTCATTACAAAATACTGTAGGTCCTTAGGTGGTGATTATTCCATTTGTCCTAAGAGACTATTATTAACTATCTGTTCTCATGAATGTGGTCTCTTTTTTTTCTGGTATTTAAAGTTGAAATTATCTCAGAGATAAGTTAATCAGGCAGTGGATCGTAAGGGTAACAATAAAACGAGTAATATCCACCTTTGCAAATATAGTTGAAATCACGAAAGATGACGATTACGTCATCATTTTAGTCTGTAGTAAAGACAAACGACAGCGATTTGTGAATATTTTTAATGAAGTTTCAGATATGTTAGACAGAGACAAAAAGAATTTTATTGTCTAAACAAACTGTATTGCTAATTTGCATGTATCCGACAAAGATAGAGGATGTTTTCATGTTGCATCATCGATCATATTTGAAAGATGAATAGTTAGGTTATGTTAAAGCAGGTTAGGTTGTTTTCGAATAATGCTTCGGTCTTTGGTGTTCCTGTTTTCAGGTATTCTACTCATAACTCAAAACAAAAAGTCCCCACTAAAATTATTATTAAGGTATCACTCAAAACCATGAAATAAAAATAATCAGTGAAATAACCTAACTTCGGAAAATCATAATATAAATTTGTTGTCATTATGTTCCTGACATCGTGGTTTTATCATCGACTTACGTCCATTGATTATTTCGGTACATTTTATGGTATGAGGTAATAGTCATCTTTCGTGATTTTGGCTATATTTATGTTGAAGATTCCATTAGAGCAACAGTGCTTCCTATGGTGCGAAAACCAGCAGTGTCCTTATTTTTATATAATCGCTTTTTTCGAATGCCTAAATAAGGCGACTCATCCACTTAAACAACCAAAACCTCAAAAGCAGTTACATGCAAAAAATAAAACAGATGAGACGCAATTTTTCTATCTATCGAAACGTGACATTGATCACATGGATGTTGGTCATGTATATCTAGTCAATACGTGTAACCCATATGACAAGATACAGCAGTGCTTTGCAAGTGCTTTTTTTTAAATTATCTTGCTTGTGCGAAAAAATGTCTACTGATCTTTGGGGATATCTTACAAATAAAAAGTTTTAGTAAAGTACTGGGACTGCATTGATGCTTCATAGGAAAAAATAAAAGTCATATGTGACATCTTCCTTCTTAAATACAGTGCACGCACGACATACATCTTTGTTGGGTAATAGTAATGTTAAGCATAAAGCTATTTGCCAACTATACCATATCGCACTACTATTACTTTTGATAGTTTCATCATAACATAGATGGATAAACCGCCTAGGACATGTTTACTAGTCCAACCCTGGTAGTAACCACTTTATTGAACAAATATATAGTTTGGCAATTATGGTCTAACATACTCTAATCTCTCTTCTAGATTTAGTTTATTGGAAAAATAAACGTTTGCCGAACAATAATGCTTAGGTCCGATATTTTAAACACTGTAATTGAGATTTGCAGATTCCAATTTGGATGAAGAGAGGACTAGAAATGACGACGCTGACGTCAGCTTCAGATTCAGCAGTCATGAAATTGCATCGGACCAGATCAATGATCATTCTATACTTTGGCATCCACATTTTTACAGCTAAAAAATGTGTTTAGCATATGTGTCGTTTATCTTTGACTCTAGTCTTCAATAAGTCTGAAATCTGTCTAAAGATCCTCACCTATTTTATTTTATTCTAAATCTCTAACGTTTTTACAATCACCCTCTTTACACACATTATCACAGAGCACAATACAATTTTTGTCATGCTTTGACAAATTTATGAGTCTATTGTTTATTTCAGAGCCATAGAAAGTTTAATTTGCTACCAAGCAGTAAATATTTGTTAAAAGTAATAAGCTCATTGTTAAAAACTATAAGTCATAAAAATGTTTGAGGACCTGTAGTGCAAGAATATATAATAAAGTTGCATTGATTAAAACACTACTATATTGAATAAATGAGCAGTGCCTTTGCAAAATCAAAAACATATTTCTTTACATATAAGGAGTTATTGTAGCTGGTTACAGTTCAAGGGTAATTCCTCATATTTTTCAAAGAGGAAAAATGGTAAAGTCGAATAATACACGTTAATAAAACCCACGCCAGATGTAAACCAGGCAATCTATATAACTATATAATGTGTAGCTGTATAAATAATTGTTATTTTATGATTATATTTATTTATTCAGCTGTGACTGTATCTGCTCTATTTCTTCAATTATAACAAAATCAGGGTTTTATTATTCCTTGTTTAAAATTAATAATCCTAACAAGTTTTGTTAGAACCCTGGATACCCAGTGAATTAATCACTCCTCTCTTATAATATCTTAGTTAGATAGCATAGATAATAGCCCCATGCATTAGTAGCATTTTAGAGTATTAACTGATTAGTGGCCAATCAATATATTTTGTATGTACCCTATTTCTCCACTGATCATATGTCTTAACCTGTCTATTTCTATGATTAGACACCTTGTTTTGTGTATAGTTGCCATCCCTGTCCCCTCTGTCTAGTGGTGTTAGCTCCATGTTGTCATCCAGATCTATCACTGAGCGATATATTGTGTTTCGAGACAGACTAAGGTATTCTTTATTGTTGTTGTAGCGTTTTGCTCTACTTCCATTTGATGTTACAGATATGGTGTCCAAGAAGTCATCTTCCTCGTCCATTATGTGGCTTCATCTGAAAATCAGTATATACCACTAACCATCTAAATTGAACTTTATTGTTATTTAAAATCTAATAGGATCATTGGTTTTGACAAATAGATAATTACAATCAGCAGTATATGTTTTTACCTGATATCTTGTTAACAAGCATATACTCAGGTAAAGCCATGGTGTGTATACCCTTCCTTTTTTTACTTTTCAAATATTACATGGACCTGTCTCAGAGGTAAGGAGCACAAAACATTAGCTGTACAAATATTTCTAATTCTAGTCATAGAAATGCAATCTGCAGCTATTTACATGAAATCCTGGGTATGATCTCATTTGATACAGGATAGAAAAATTGTTAGAAATAGCTGATTCCTACCCATAAATACACCCATGCACTATTATTATTATTTATGTACAATTATTTTGTAATAAATAGCAACAATAATCTTCAAAACTTTAGATCCACATTCCAACCAAACATGATTATATTATAATGAAAAAACAAAACATTAAGTATACCTATAATGTGATGGTTTCTAAATCAAACATATAGTTGATAGAATCAACATAACTTATATGAAGTCGATTTTCAAGTAACTAAAATTATATGGCAGATTAGCATAACATGCTTTTCAGAACCTGAAGATGATAGACTAGTATGAAGCCTGTGTAAGTGAGGTGTGTAGATAATGAAAAACAATGACCATGTTTCACACAATATTATTAGCTTTTGAGCAGAATATATTTTTAATAGGAGCAAGCAAAATGTTGCTTTTTCTATATTATTTGAAACTGGTAGTGGAGAAAATTTCTAAATTTGCTGGATTATTATAATAAGTATAGCTTTCAGTGAGAGACTTTTATATTATTAAAAATAAGCATGCACACTGATATACAAATTTAAATATAAATCAAAAACAACTTACTTTTCCAAAAATATACATTCTGGTGCCTTCTTGTATAGCAAATTTAACACATATCTATTTCTTTCACAGTCACTAAACATGCACACAAATAACCAATGTGTATACTGCAGTTTTGCAATATTTAATTCAATATATGGTCTATCCTCAGTTCAGTTTAGATCATCAGTATTTTTATCTATTGCTAATATAAACAGAACTAGTGAAAATGCATCTTGCAGATTATACATAAAAAGCAACAATTCATCTGCATATTCCATATATTTATGTTTAAGATGATTATGTGTTATATTAAAGTACCAAAGGTTATTGGAACATTGATGTTTGCCCATGAAAAAATTTAAAAATATAGAGGAGCTGTTAACATGCAAGGTACGAGTTATCTTGCAACTAGAAGAGTAAATAAATTTTTTAAGAAACATGAATTGAGTACTTTTAAAATTGGCTGGCAACATTCAAGATGCGAATATTTCAAGTAATCAAGCCATTCAAATTTCATACAGGTCAAGGTGGTTGTGAGCTGTAATTATACTTTAATCTATCTGCGAAAATCAACGGAAAATGTGTGTGCAAATGAGACAGTGAACGAATACAAGTAGGGCGATACGTGTTTTCAAATTGCAGTGAGTAATGAGTGTTGCTGTATGAAAATTTTGAGAGATTTGTGTGTACTTTTATCTTACCTAACCACACTTTTCTGATAAATAAAAAACGGAAACGGAACGGGACCGTCAATCCGTGCCGTGCGTTTTGTTGACAAATGACAAAACCGATAAACCGAAGGATGCCGGCAGTCAGCAGTAAACAGTACGGTCATTAAGTTACATTTCTGCCGGGCGCTATTCCATGTTGATAGTGCAGGGATAATAGGATAACTTGATTAATGATCTTTGATGCACTACGAAGTCTAATGTTTTGCAGCTGCAAATGAAGCTCTATCGGATCAAACGACTGGTAGATAACTGAACAAATAATATTTTCTATCTTATATATTATTCAGATTTGCATATGTATTTTATTTCACCTTCTACTCTCTTTTAGATTATTATAGCTGTTAATCATGTGTAAAACTACTGGCATATGCAGCGACAGTGTGTTCTCTGGAGAATAAGTTACGCCCACTCAACATATACATTTACACCTGCGCTGGCCAGATCTCTGTGGGTTCAAAAACGGCGGATTGAAATTTGTATACGAGGGATATGTCTTTTAAGTTTTGCATATGGAAATAAAACAACTCGGTAGGTAGTTTTAAATGACTTTGTTTTTCAAAGTATTGTCCACGAAGATTAATACGCATCTGCATGCGCTCGAACCAATTTTCGAAGCACTTATTCCACTCGTTTGCTGGCAGATCCAAAACGGCATTTTTGAATGCGTCAACTGCTTCTTCTGGTGACTGGAACCTTTGACCACGCAGTCTGTTTTTAATTTTCGGGAAAGTAAAGAAATCGTTAGGACTTAGATCGGGACTATATGGAGCATGGTCCAATAATTCCACGTTTTCTTTCGTTAAATACTGCCTTGTTTTTTGGGCTGTGTGCGAGCTTGCATTGTCTTGGTGGAGGATGATTCTTCTTTCGCGGTTGATTTTTCGAAGCTCGGTGATGACTTTTGCCAAACAAATGGTGGTATACTAATCCGCAGTAACAGTTCTTTGCTCATTAAGAGGAATTGTTGCAATATGACCCGCTTTTGACACAAATGTTGCGTCCACCTTTTTCGAAACACTTCGAGAACGGATGACTTTTGTTGGCTTTTCTTCACCTTGGAACACCTAAACAGCCGACTGTCGTTTATTTTTTGGTTCATAACAGTAAATCCACGATTCATCACCACTAACAATGCTGTACACATTTTTTGAGTTTCCGGAATTGAAACGGTCAAGCGTTTTTTGACACCAATTAACCCTGGCTGGTTTCTGCTCTTCAGTCAACAGGTGGGGTATTCAACGAGAAACTAATTTTCTTACTCGTAATTCTTCATGTAAATTTTTTTGAATTGAGGCCTTCGAGATCTTCAAGGACGCCTCAATCTCGCGATATGTCACATGTCTATCTTCAATGATGAGTATGCGCACAGCATCGACGTTTTCCTGGGTGACTGCCGTTTTTGGTGCAGCCACCCTGGGATCGTCGCTAAGACTCACCCGTCCACGTTTGAATTCTCCATATCAACGGGAAATTGTCGACTGATGTGGCGCTTCGTTGCCGAAAACAGACAGTAACTCAGCAAGGCATTCTTGTTGCGATAATTGTCTCTGCAAGTTGTAATAAATTATGGCGCGAAAATGTTCTCGCTTGAGTTCCATTTTTCTAATGACTTTTGACGACACTTAAAAATTCACTGTAGTGAGAACACTGCACGTATTGTTGTGAAACTTTGAATTTAAGTTTACTAAAGAGTGAGGTTAAGATTCAGTACTGACGTTCGATGCGCGCAGCCTACGCCGGCTCCACACGTTGGCCCCAACGCCACTCGCCCAACGTGTGTATCTAGAAAATAGTGTTGGCCCCAACGTTGGAGCGACCGTTGGTAGTTGGCTGTCGATTGTCGGTTTTATCAAAGGAATCTGCGCCAACGTTGGCAATCCGTCCACATATTGGCTCACTGGCTCAGTCTTGTTGTAACACGCGTCGAGTGCGTATGTGTAGATATGTCATCAACATCGCTACCCGCGTGGACAAACGAAAAAGTTGTAGAATTTTTAGAGTTATGCCAGGCGCATCCAAGCGCTTAGAGCAATTTCGGTTTCGGTGTCGGACATCTTCACATTGGCTCTGACAGAAAGGAACTAGTATAATAACCAACGTGTGGACGCTTCACCAACTTAACCGACCAACGTTGGTACCAACTTTGGGGCCAAAGTGTGGAGCCGGCGCTACAATGTTTCTATATGCAAAACTTAAAAGACATCCCTCGTACGCAAACATTATTTCGAGTCGATCAGTATTTATGAAGCAATTTTCTGCCGTGTGTTTTTTCCCAGAGGGTATGTGTATTCGTATAAAGTTGTAGTTACCGTTCTTGGAGGTTACGTCATCATCAACGCCATATGAAATAAGTAAACAAATCGAGTCTCCGTACCATGGACGGATTTTGAGGTCGTGATATGTTGTCCTTTACTTCTCATATCGTAGAAAGTATTCATAATTTCTGTTTTGACGGCATCACATACATCATCGGTCTTGCATTTTTTGATTTTATTCGCTGAACACTGGGCAGGCTAATCTTCAGCCTATCTCCAGTACGCATGAAGAGGTCGGCCTTCTCCATTGATTGTATTTCCGGGCATTGTACAATTTTGTATTCAAGATTGATTGCAGGACAACTTAAATTTCAAGCCGATGTCAAGTAAGTTGTCACTCTGACAAGTATGATTGAAGGGCATTCATACGTGAAGCCAAAGTTTTCGAGACGGAAACACACAACAAAAAAACTTGTGTCTTTGAGCCTACCGAACAAACGTTCACACACAGGACACAGGGGTAGATTGAATGTGTATGTATGAGGGAGATGGAGGTATATAAAGGGATACTGGTAGTCTTACTTTGATCCGCCAAGAATGCTGACTACAACTATATCAATAAGGTCGGCAGCAGCAAATGTATACTAGGAGTAACTGAACTGATTGCCGCGTGCGGTGGACAAAAAGGGAAACATTATCAGACAAATTGTTACATATGGTGAAATTTGTCACATGAGCTTAACTGAGGCCTGGCAAGTGTGCAAACAATCCGCTGCCATCATTTGTCAGATCGAAAGAAGATTGTGTCAGTTTGAAATCCAAATTGCTCCCAGCCGCAAATCGCGCTTATATAAATGTCTGTCATTTTGAATAGTATCCCTCTATTCTTATATTTCACCTATCGAACACAAATATTTCTATTCAACTTCCGCTACATGGCGCTATCAACGTGCACCCAGCGAATATTCAGCGCTTTTCAAAATGGAAAACTATCAGTTTCTGACAATTTAGTATGAATTAGATATTTCATATAACATATTTAGATGGACCCTTCTAAGAGAGGATGGATATAACGTACTGTGCCGTTTTGATGATTAATTGTCGAGTTTATAATCGATGCAATGTAAAAAAAGGTTAACTTTTGTCTTTACACAAGCCTGTCAATCCGCCATTTTAAAATATACTAAATTTATATTCTAGGTCTGTGATTCTAGTGTTGTAAACCACACATAAGGTGCTTCAAAATGTGGTATCATGAGACCCATTCCATTAGAAAAAATGTTGCGCTGTTTGAAAATTCTCGAAGTGCATGCATCAGGCTTAAATTAGCTGCAGGAAAAATCGAAATGCGTGTATAATATACCTCTGTGAACTATCGAATGTTAATGCATGTACTTTGAGAGATTTTAAGGCGACTACAGCATGCGGCAGAAAACCGTAATGGGCTGAAATACAAACTCTACAACTGTGAATTTTCGTTTATTAGAGACATACATTGTGAAACATAAATTGCGTTCACAAACCTCACAGTGGTATGTAATTAAAAGTTACTGTCACATTCCTGTGAGTGGAGCCTCTCGCACGCAATACAAATAATAAGTGTCTCTAGTGAAATTGGATCAACCGGTTCGCCAGCTTTTGCTACTCTTCCAGTAAATCAATATCTATCTTTAAGATACATAAGTATCAATGGATGTTACATGGGTATACATATAAGGGAAGAGAAATGCACGCTTGAGATTCACGGGGTAGTAGATACTTCTTGATCAACGCGGACCGTGTTTAACAACTATAGTTACAAAATTCAAACCAAGGAAAAGTACTCGTAATATGGCACATTCTGACCCGCGAATTAACAGTAAGGACCACCGCGTGATTTCAATGCAAGCACGTTGATTTCTTATTACGAAGCGATATAGTAACAGACGAGCCTTCCTTCAGAATAGACATCAGCTAAAAATATCACTCCAGAATTGTTTCATTACTAAAGGAAATTCCTGCTATGGGTTAAAGAGGAATGTAGGTAGAAAAATGGACAAATAAATCTATAGATCATTAATCTGGTGACTCTGGTGTTATAGGCATATTCCGTGTGTAAAGGAATTTAGTGTCAATGATCATTATATAATTAACGTTAATTTGTCTAACTTGTTGATATCATGCTGGAGCTAATGTCAATGGTTGAATTTACATTTTGTGTACCGGATACTGGCATGCGGTCACGTTACAGATCTCCTAGTACAAATGTCGCATTGGTTGCAATTATTGTAATATCCTTCGTATCATCGTTAGTATTTTCGTTGTTAATAGTTTCCGATCAGATGTAAGAGAAATTAACATTTGAAAAGTATTTATCATATTTAGATCATTCAGTACGGCTGCTATGTTCGATAAATAACATGTACATATACACTTCCTCTAATATTCAACTACAAACACGATGTTGTCTGACGTTCAAAGTACTTTATCAAAATATAGTCGTACAACATATCATCAGCTGTATATCCTCACGCACACCGGCATTTTAATCAGGCCTTGGTCGTTGATCGATAGGGACATTTTATAGTTCATATATCACATTTGTTTTGACAGTTTACAAGCAGAAATAATATACCTACCTCTACTAAAAATTTTGCACTAATCTGCGACTCGACATATTAGTAATAATAAAATATTTGATATTCCCAATTTTACAAAATTCCCCAAATCGGCAGAGAACACATAATTCTGACGGATCCGTCAACGCCAAAAGTAGACAGAGCCTGTTTTGGTTTTTTGTACGCTACAGATTCATGTTGTACTTGCTAACAGCTCTTTTATTTAGAAAAGTTGATTTGCGTACAAAAAACAAAGCGCCACAAACAAGTTTTACTAGATTTATACCCAATCTATTATTGCCAACGTTGCAGACTAACACAAAAATGTCACTTGCTGATCAGCTGTTCACCTCAGAAGACGTCAAGGCGTGATGGATACTCGTGAAATAGGGTATAATTGAGTGTTTATGTAAAATGTAACTAGAGCCAGCACATAACACATAATAGTATCCACACGGTCTGGTGCTGGCGTATAATCGTATGCAGAAAACATGAAATAGGTCCAATTATTTGGTATTATTTTCTTCAACGCTCTACCAGAATATGTAAAAAAATGAGGCACCAATGTTCAGAAACCTTATAGGGCCATATTTGTCTAAGAAAGCGATTTATAATTTTAGGTACTTAAAAAAATGATTTTAAGGTTTTAACTGTCAAATACAATTGTGTTTGGTTTGATTGTATTTTCCTGTACTGATATG